AAAAGGTATTTTTTTTTGAGATGGTTAAAAAGAAACTTCATAATTTGAAAATAATTGTTCTTCAATCCAACTCATTAGCGAAATTTATGAAGCGTTTTTAGATCTGTATTGTAATTATGAAGTTTAGAGCTAAACAAGTACATAAACCAATAAAGGAATCGTAAATTGGAAAGATCGGAAACTCGAAGTTTGTACAAATTAAAGTGCTTATTCGAACTTTAAGTCGTAAATGGGATGAAAAACTTCTGCAAGGATTTGTCTCTTATAATCACATGCATCTGAAATTGCTGAATTTGCCTTGCTTCTTTTTTAATACTCTCAAAGGTGTATTAAAATTTTTATTAATGAAGCATTTGGCTAACTGTTATGTGCTATGTTCTACTTATACACATCAAAAGTCTTAACGTTAGAATTTTTTTTTTTGGTTGATGATTGCTGATTTCCTTACTAAGTCGAATGATTCGCGTTTTACATTTAATAACTATTAAATATTCGTCCTTTAATGAACGAATGACATCGCCGATCATATGACTTGCATCCATTTACTCCACAATTTTTAATTTCCATTCTATTAGTAAGCTTCACAATTTACTTCCTTTTCTATCATGAACAGACTTATGATTTTCTTCTGTTTTCAAAAATAATTAAAAAAGATAAAAACCGCATAAAAATGATTGATAGTTTATACAAGAATATATGAACATCATTTGCCAGGTTTAATTACAGTTGCCACAAATAACTCCACATATTTGTTATACAGGTAAATATAGAGCAAGCTTTTGGTTGTTTAAAAAGCTGGCTTGTTCGGCTGGTCAAATTCATCCAGTGGGAAAAATACTCGAATATTTATATAGAAGTTTTCAACCCTAAAAGTTCAAAGAAAAAAAAAAAAAAAAATTGCTGTACTGAAAATCCAAGATAGAAAACATAAACGTAGAAACAGTATTTTTTTCTTTTGGTAGTGGCTTTTTTTGGCATAGATTTCGCACCGAAATGAAAGTCTGTGTATTAACATATCTCCTACAGGAAAAGCATACATTGTCTAAATTTGATAATTTAAAAGATTTTGACAAACTTTTATTAACGGAAATTTGAAAAAGTTCAAGCGATATTATCTGGGAGTGGCGTCATGTTAAAAAATGTCATCTAGTAGCATGTTTTTGAGTACCATCATGCGATCAGACACGAACCGTCCAGGGCCTTTGATCGGGAGGGGGGCCTCCGAAGAACCTTAAGTTTTAAGTATATGTACCTATATGTAAGAATATAAAAAAGAACGAAGCTAAAAAGAGGTTTGCATTGAAAATGTGGTTACTGTGAAAATAGACTTCCAAGAATCAGTCCCTAAATTTTTATATTTGCCACTAAAACTTTTTAGACTGTGTGTGTTTCAATTGCTTTTTGTGAGAGAAGCTTTTCAAATTTGAACATGAGTAAAAGTTATTTTCGACCAAAAATGAGCCAAGTGAGACTTAACAGTTTGGCAGACTAAAATGCAGTAGCTAAAACATTAATTTTATGAAGCTATAAAAAAATTAAAAGCTTGCAGAAATAGTTTTAGATATTTTTATTGACAAATTAAAAAAATTTAAATCATCAAAAATTGCAGATTAACAAGCTTTTTTTAAATATATTTAATAACAAAATTAGAATTAAGTTGAAGTTGCTAGAATTAAGTTTTGTTTAGTGTTAAGTTCTTTTTTTTCTTTCCATATCATTTTAACTATTTAATTAAATTAATGCTAATTATATGAGACATAGGAAGGATAAAAAAAAAAAGTCATTTCTACCATCGACTGTCATAGCCTGTAACTTATCGCACATTTGATTTTATAGAGACCGATGACAATAACAATGAAAATGAATTTCTCTTAAGACGGTTAACAAAATACTTGATAATTTAAAAATAGTTATTTTTTAAACCCAATACATTAAAAAGTATTTGTAGATCCATATTGTAATTATGGAGTTTAGAACAGAACAAGTACATAAGCCAATTAAAGAATCTTAATTTGGAATGATCGTAAGCTCGAAGTCTGTCTAAATTAGAGCACTGATTCAAAGTTCAAATAATCAATGGAATGAAAATGTTCTGCAAGGATTTGTCTCTTGAATCACATTCATTTGAAATTTGTGCATTTGTCTTGCTTCAACTCTCAAAGGTGTATTAAATTATTGAAGTAATTTATTCATATTAATTACAACTTCTACAGAAAAAAAGTAAATTTCTACCAATTGCTTTGTTTCGCTGTTTAGTTATTCATTTTTCCTGACGCTTGAATTAACTTCACTAGAGTCTACATCTTAAAGCAGACATATAATCATTATGTAATCAGCTCCCCCCGTAAAAAAATAAATTGCAATTTCAAAACTTTAGATTATAGTTTATCATTTGGAAAGTTTACCATTAAAATTTCAAAAAGTTAAATATAGCATAAAAAGGCTATAATTAAACAAACATAAGAAATACAGCACATTAAAAGTATAAAATTAAGAAATAACCACTGTCTGATATTGGTATTTAGACTTAAGACTTAAAACACTTCTAAGTTAGGAAATTACGAAATGCCTAATAGTTGAAAAATTAATTCTCCAGAAACTAAAAATAGAGAACATAAAATTTTATGATTAAAGTGAGATATTCAGAACGTTAAATCCAAATGAGAGAGAAAACAATTTGATATGATATTATGCTATTTAAATTAACGCCGCGTTAAACGTGTATACATATTTAATTAAAAAATCTGTTGTGAACACCACGTAACTTCCTTGTAGGCCTATTAAATTTTACACACATTTGCTGCACTTCATTTAAACTTCTGAAATTGATATCAAAATTGTCAATTTTTAAATTAAATATCGAGGTTAATTTTTGCCGTACGGGAATCAAACGTATTCTATATTTATATTTTCATAAAGAGTATAAAACCTTCCCAGATATAAGTATAGGAACAGAGAGAACGCACTAAAAGTTAGATTTCATTAACTGTCTAAAAGCAATATTTTTTAAATTTGATATTGCCAAAACATGAATATTTTCGTCATTTAAAACACTTATTTAATCGGAAATATATGACTACAATTAACGATGATGGAAATAAAGGCCGGATAAGGACTTTTTAAGCCGGGTAATGTGGGTGGTTATATATGTATACTTTTGATTCTGCCGGATGGTAATGAATAAGGGAGATGCACCACTAGATGTTACAGCAGTCCCATATACAAAATTGCAACATTCTAAAATTGACCGATTTTGAGTTATGCCAGATACATACGTATATACATACTTGTAAATGTCACGAAAAAAATCCATTTCAAATCAATTTTACAATATGGTTTGGGAAAAAGAATCCTTTTCTCTGTTCATACGTACACATGTCATGCCAAAAACTAGTCAAAAGGGATTCGAGAAAGCTCAAAATAGATATTTCCGTTGATATATGGTATCCGCAATTTTTCGCGATTACAATACCTGCTTTACGCCGTGCAAAGAAATAAAAATATTAAAATTTTTTTGAAATGTCGCTCTACCTTTATTTTACTGGATCGCCTTAAGACAATTTTTGTCGAGTAGAATCAATTTTAATTTTTGGTAAGACACGAAAACCACATAAAGAAAACAAAAAATTCGTCAAAGAAGCTTCTTCCTAGGGAAAAAAAAAAAAAAAAAAAAACCACCACTTTAATTTTATGTTTCAAAGAAACGTTTGCATTGTAAAATTATATTTTGTGAATATTTTGGTAACTATTAATTGTTAAAGAAATTTATACTAGTCAAGGAATAAGCTTCAGGTTCAGCGGTATATGTCACAAAAATCCTCTGTATTACTATCTTATATTTGACAAAACATGAGATACTTCCCGATCCATTATTTCGTTGTCAAGAATAGTATATTTAGATTTGGTTTGGTTTATTAGATTACGGCAAAGCATTCGAGGGCTATCTGCCTTAAGGTAGGGATGTCTTCGTGGAGGACTTTTTAAGGGAAACTGGCTTGTATACACGTTACACATGGGGAAAACCATGAAAACACCCATGCACCCAGACCTCGAACCTCGGACCGAACTACCAGTGTTCAGCGACGTTACCGCTCGGCCGCTGGTGGGCCTTTACTATATTTAGGAAAATGTCATATGCTTACTAAATGTGAATACGGAAATCAAAGATTAATTTCAAAGATAACATTTTAACATCCTGTTAAATTATTAGTGGTTTTGTGAAAATGAAATTTGAAGAATAATATTTACGACAAATTACAACCCGTTCTATATTGGTTTGACTTACCTTCCGGTAACCTGTGCGAGCGTCAAACAGTTTTGCAAACTGAACGTTTGGCGTCCCACCAGTGGACGAGCGGTAAAGTCCCTGAACACTGGTAGTTCGGTCCGAGGTTCGAGTTTTTCCCATGTGTAACGTGTTTATACTGTTGAGAAATTAGTTTTTTTTTTGGGGGGGGGGAAGCAGGAAAGATGAAAAATAGCAATCGCCTTCGCCGGGAATCGAACCACGGACCTCTGGAATACCAGTTCAGGGTGCAGAACCACTGCACCACGAAGGCACGCTAAGAAGGCGAGAGAAGTACCTTATATACTCCCCCTTTTAAAGGGTGATTGGGGTTTTTAGGGGACCCAATCGCCAAATCCTGGGTGTGGAGATTCATCATCCACGATCCTTTTAGTTCGGGCGCCACTGTAGAGACATTAGGTTATTATTTTTAAAGTAGGAGGGATGAAAAATGAGCAATCGCCTTCGCAGAGAATCGAACCACGGACCTTTGGAATACCGGTTCAGCGTGCAGAACCTCTACATCACGAGGGCACCTTAAGAAGGTGGGAGAAATACATTATAATACGAGCCAGTTTCCCTTACAAAGTCCTCCACGAAGGCGTCTGCCCCTTCTGTGTAGTGCCTTAGAGGGTGAAACACGTAAATAATATTAATAAACTGAAAGTTTCATATCAGTGCTAATACATTCAAATATAAAATAATAAGATCCTACCTGTCTATGAGAAGCAAAGCATTTCTAAGATGCAATGCGTTTCCCCATGCGTATTTTTTATTCTGCCAAATAGATCCGAAAGTTGTTGTGATAGCGAAGTGTAACTGCCTGGGTGTAGCTGTGCCGTGCTAGTGAATTCTAAAGAAGAGAAACAGTGACTCACACATACATCTCACTCTCCTCACATTGATTGACAAACCCAAACTGAATTACAGCGTCGAGAATACAAAAGTGAGGAGCAATATTTTTTGTCCTTTTTGCTTTCGCAAACAGCTTGCTTTTGGGCCGTTGGATAATCGATCGACATTTGAGTTGCTTTGGCAAAAAGTCTCCATGCGATGTCGTGACTGACCTTAACCGCTTCTGATAGGATGATAAATTTATTCAATTTTTATCTTGCGTTTCCGATCAATTTTCATTAAGAGCTGGGGAAACAACATTCACCGATTTATAACTAACTAAATTAAATTATCATCAAAATGATTTGCAAGCAGTACATTCAATTTACATGACACGTAAAAACAATAATAAATGCCTTTTGAAGAGTTATTGCAATAGCAGAGTGGTTCTCAAAGTTTGGGCTGCCACCCTTGTGGTTTACAATGCAGGTATTGGTGGATCTCGAATTGCTTTCAAGTAACTTTCTTCTTATTGCATAATTATGTATATTACCTGTAATTATAAATTAATGTGTAGTTATGAATTAATTATTAATAGCAATATATGTCTATATATAAATTAATTTATTAATACATTATTTTCTCTTCTAAAAATCATCCCTTTCTTTTCAGAAAAACTATATGTATACAAGTCCCGAGGTTAAACGATTAGGTAAACACTCATAAATGCTAGAGTGAAATCTTTTCAAATTCGCGAATCCTCCTATATCATGTCAAAAGTTTATTATCCACGCTTTCTGGAAAATATTGCAATTGCATGAGACATAAAATTGTTAATTTATCTTAATTTTTTAATAGTTTTATTTCTGTATTTCTGATTTCTTAATAGTCACATATTACAGCAGTGGTTCTCAAAGCTTGGATCGTAAGACAATTTTTGGTAGATCGGTAAAAGTTGGGAAGTTTACACTTTGACTGTATATATACTCACAGAAAATTATTACCTTGCAATTATTATTTAACTGTTAATAATTATATATGTTTTTAGTCCATTTTTCGCAGCATTTTATTCTTTTTTCTCTTTTCGATTCCTCTTTGCCTGAGAAAAATATGTGCACAAAGCGATAAGCCTCACTTACATACTTGTGATTGTTGTATTACAATCATAAAAAAATCGCTTTTATAGCATTTTTTTTTGTTAACTTCATCGTAGCATCGTTCATATGACGTAGAGCTGGGATAAGCGAGTTAATGGGATATTAATTTTATACTTTTGTTTAACACAGGGGAATAAAATATTTTCATCTATGCAAACAGTTTATTTTGCTCTATGCAAATTATTATAATCTCAGGTATGGGGTATAATGTAGTAGGCCTACTCATGGTGCACACTGGATTACGCTAAATCTGCTACAGCTTTGCCGCTTGTTGTTGGTTCCTAGAGATCCTCCAAACTGTCCTTTTCAGGATCCTCCAAACAGTGCTTAGTGATTGTCCAATGGACTACGGGTGGTTTTTCCCAAGAAAAGGAAACACAGCTTATGACTGAATTAAATGATCGACAAATAGATGTATTTCTTATTTTTGAGGCAAATTTGTGAAGGGACGCTATAAAATATTATTCGTTTGATAACTTCTATCTACAGCTCTTGCCTAAATCAAGAAGAATCGCTAGTGGAAGCTTAGTTGGTATTAAAAAGAACTTGACGTCCAAATTCATTATTATCAAAGACTTACCGTCTCATATTGGTGCTGAGTTCGTCAAAATCGACGTTTGGAAATAAGAAATCCATTTCACTATTTAAGCCTGTTATAGCCCACCGAACAATAATAAATTAAAATTTCAGGATCTTTCCTTCTTAAATAAAACTATCCTTTGTGGAGATTCTAATACTCATAGCCCCCGATGAAAGTTGTGATGTCGCGTGGCCCCAACTTGCCCGCAACAGTAGTAGGGACTGCTATGAACTGGAAATTACACAAACTCTTAAGAAGGGTTTAACTCCCTTTTTATTCCACTTTAGAAGTTACAGATGCGTTCACTTGACGCTCACAAACTACGCCGACCCGGCGGTTAAATAAAAATAGAAAAGTACAGCTAAAAATAAATAACAGGATGAATAAATATCAAGTCACTACCTACGAGGCTCTATAAACGTGACTAACGTAACCGCGTTCTAAGATACAGCTGAGATTTCAACAAACTTTCAGAATAAGAAGTTGAAAGATTCAACTAACTGCCGAAGTAGGCACACAGGCCGAAACGCGCAGTTCTTAAATTTCTACTAAGTAACCTTCACGCTCGTGAATCAAAAAAGCACACTTACAAACTCGTTTCGCTTCTATTTAACTCAAAATACTTCTGCTAAAAATTTGAATACTCTGCGCGTTCTACTAAAATTTGCATACTCTGGCATTGGCAGTTCCAGGGAAAAGTAAAGGCTTGACAGGAAAGATAGCTTAAACTTAAAATAAATATAAACCCTACAAAATATAACGATTATAACCATTCCGAAAGGATAATGGAGGACCTAGTTAACTCAACTAACTGCAACTATCCTACTAGAACACGGATATTCCTTCTCATATTCATTGTAATGGAAATGGTACAAATCCCGATCTGATTTTAGGCATTGTTGATTTAGCTGGGGATGCAAGAAGAGAAGTAATTTATGATCCTGGTTTTGGACATCGTATGATCACGACCAGTTTTGGATTACAATCCTCTGACCCTGAGACAGACGAGCATTGACAAGGCATTCTATTATTTTTCTGAATTGATTTTGACAACCGCAAAGAAGTGGATACCAAGAGGTAAACAACTAAGTTTTAAAGCTTTCTGGAATGATAGATTGACTAAATTAATGGGAATTTCCATTGAATCTCGAAGAGTTGCTGAACAAACAAAAAATCCTAAGGACGTCCAAAGATGGAGAAGAAGTGTAGCCATCTTTAAAAACGAAATTATTGCGGCAAAGAAAAAATGCTTTAATGATTTCCTTACTAATATAGACTATAGAAAGGACGGAAAAAAGGTTTATAATTTTGTGAATAAAGTAAAAAAGGAAGAGAGCAATGGAAGAGAGCATGGAAGAGAACCGATGAAAGTAGGTTAAAAATACTGACGGATGATCTGGTCATTGCGGATGCTTTTAACACCTTTTATTGCAAAAGACAGCGTTTAAAAAGCGATCTGAAGAGAGATCTGAAGAAGAGAGACCCTTAAGATAACAATTATCGAGAAATTTTCTTCAAGTCCTCTGGGACCTTCGGTTTTTAATAGAGATTTTACTATTTCTGAATTGTGGGGAGCTATTGGACAAATGAAATGTAAAAAAGTCCAGGCCCAGACAATATCCATATCGAATTTTCAATAAATAATTTTGCGAAAACACCCTGAATGTCCTCTTGAAGCTTTATAATAAGAGTTGGAATTCGACTGTTCCTGCTGCCTGAAGAAAGGCCATCTTGATTCCAGTTCTTAAAAAGAACAAACCACAGGAGGATTTGGACAGCTATAGACCAATTGCTTTAAGTAGTGTGTTATCAAAGATAATGGAGAGAATGATTGTTTCCCATCTTAAGTGGTACTTGTAAACCAATGGCTTAATATCTTCTAAACAAACGGGATTTAGAAATTACAATTCTACAAGTCGTATTCTTAAGCCAGTCAATTAAAGATGCACTTGATGAACGAAATTTGGTGCTGGCTGTTTACGTAGATTTCCAAGCAGCGTATGAAAACGCTTGGAGGTTAAAGGCTGTTCAAAAACTCCAGACATTAGGTGTTGGCGGAAAAATGTTTCTTTAGGTAAAACATTTCTTGACCCAATGTTTTTGTGCTACTCGTTATAGTACCAGCACTTCAAGATATAAATAAGTTGAAACGGGTTTGCCTCAGGGCACAGTTATTAGCCCTATTATCTTTAACATTCTCATTAATGATCTACCACATATCCTGGAATCAGATAGGATCGTGAACACTGCCCTTTTTGCCGATGATCTTGTCGTATGGGCGTATCGGTCAGAGCTAACAAAACAGATCAAGATGGTTTAAACCGAATCTTAAAGCTCTGTGTTCCAGAGACTAGAGGAGTGGTGTTTTGCTAATAATATGAGAGTTAATGAGGGGAAGACTACTTGTCACTTTTTCTCTCTCAATGGATAACACTTTACTCCTAGACTAATGTATGAGAAGTGGGTTTTGAAGCAGACGGATGGTGCCATCTACTTTGGCTGTAATTTTGACAAGCGCTTAAGCTGGAGAAAGCGTGCAGAGCATGTAGTTGCTAAGGCGGAGCGTAGATTACCTATTCTTAAATGCTTAGCAGGTGTTGTGGTAGAGAGATTCTCAACTCGATGTATAAAATGTATGTATATTCGACCAATACTGAATTATTGCTGTGAGATAGTGATCTCGGCTAAGCAAGATGTGATACAACGTCTGGAGCTATTCCAAAATCAGGCATTGCGCATTATAACCGGAACTGTTAAGACGACTCCTATTCTGGCAATGCAGTTGGTATCGGAAAACCAACCAACGACAAACCTGATTCAGAAAAATCCTTTTCCGGAGACTTATTTGACTACCAAATAACCCTCATTGGAGGAACTATGATTATAATAAATAGCGAAATCTGAAGACACAAAATGGCTTGTCTGCAGCGTGTCTCTCGCCTAGAACAATACAATCATATAAGAACAGTGAAACCGGCACTGCTGTTTTTGCAAATTCCTTTGTATTATAGGTTCCTTGATTCAAATTATTTAGTTATCAGTTATTATTTTGTTATATTCGGGTGGAGGACTACATTATTCAAAATTTATAGCTCTAGGTTCCTTATTTTTCATAATGCGAGATATATACATACATTCATGCAGATTCTAAATTACTTAATTTCTTTAAATATAATACAGAGCAATAATATTTGGTGGTAACAGTGTGAAAAGTGATTCAACGCAAAAGGTGAATCCACGCAAAATCCCAAAACGACATTAATAGCCCTTGTGGGATAGCGTTCTTTGGGGTAAAAAGAAAGAAAGAAAAAACACGGTAGTGAACAGCTTACTTTTATCACCAAACAAAAAAACTTGATTCAA